GCTATATCTTTTGATAGCCGGGCATCTCCAGCTTCATTTCTATCACCAAGAGCATATTTTCCATTACCAGTTCTGTTTCTAACTTTTGCATTGCAAACACCTGCAATTGTCACTTCACCTTGAATGCATGTTTGATCAATGTTAGACTGCAAAAGTTGGAGGAAATCTTCAATTTCTTCATCTTTGGATTTAGTGGTGGGTGTGTAAATTTGAATAATCCTCATATTAACTGATATTCCTTGAAGTATACAGATATTTTACTCTTACTGATGGTATTGTACATCATGGAGATCTTCAAATGCTCTTTTTGAAGATGAATGTGATGCCCTATTCTTGACCTTGTCATTCCCACATAGTAAACCATATGATTGTCTGATTCATACCAGCCCATTTCAGCTCACTAATGCCTAGGATATTGATCTTTCTGTGTTCTAGTTAATGTTGGACGACTTCCAAGTGTTCTCCTCCATTCATACTTCATACATTCCACATTCCAGTTATTAATGGACCCTTGCAGCTGTTGCTTCTCGTTTTGAATAAATGAAGGTACTGAAAGTTCTTCTCATCATTGAAGTCAACTCTGATTTGAAGAGAGATGGTTATTAGACTTTGACAGAATGACTCCTTGAAGCCTGACCCTAAGCATGGCCTGCAGAATGTGAATTGGAAATAGCAGAACTTCCTGCCCATATTAGTCAATAAAAGAACAGACAGCTCACAGAAATTGAAATACTGTCGTTGTTAGGTGCCATCAAGTTGGCGACTCTATGTACAGCACTGCCCAGTCGGTCTGGTGCCCTCCTCACAGTTGTTCTGACACTGAGCCCGTCGCCACGGTCACTGTGTCGATCCATCTTGGTGACAGTCTTCCTCTTTATCGATGCCGCTCTACTTTAGCAAGCATGATGTCCTTCTCCAGGGACTGGTCTTTCCAGATAACATGCCCAAAGGCCATCCTTGCTTCTAAGGAGCATTCTGACTGCACTTCTTCAAAGACAATAGAAATACTCGAATGAAAATATTGTGCATGGTGAGGGCATTCACTGCATGACTGTGCTCCCTGAGAGTCTATAGAGAATGTTCCTTTCATCAACATAGTAAGGAGTCACACACTCACTACCATCCATTTGGATTCAAACCCATAGCTACCCTTTAGGATAAAGCAGAACTGTCCCTTTGAGTTCTGAGGCTATGCATCTTTATGAGGAAAGAATAGTTCATCTTTCTCCCAAGAATTGGCTGGTGGGTTCAAACCACTGACCTTGCAGTTAACAACCCAATGCATAATCCACTAAGCCACCAGGGCTCATAGTGATGGGAAACAGGCATCACTGCAAAGCTTGGTAGTGGATTTAGCAGAGGTTGAAGATTGTGATACCATCACTGACCTGGGCTCCATGGTAACAATGGACAAAATGGGAATCCGTGATCAACAGAGTCCAGGTGAGCAGGACTTAACCATCAGCAGCAAAGGGGACATAATTACTACAATAAGTTTCCCAGTCATGGTTGTGTGATCATCATAGAAGTTATACTACTGGTCTAGGTATGGAGCTGAACTGGCCCCCATTCTCAGTTTTCAGCCAAAAACGAGGTGTAGAGGAGGAGGAAGACAAGCAATAGTGAGGAACACATACCTTAGAATATTCAACTATTTAAGATCGAAAGGGAAGCATTGATCCCAGCAGACAGTTCATGAGTGAGGAGAGAAGGAGATATGAAAACAGGAAACAGAAAGGAAGTGGGATGTGATGGTACATTGAAAGTACGACAATGGTTGAGATGGTGCAAAAAGTGTATGACTTGTGGAATATAAAACTGGTGATCTGCTCTGTAAACCTTCACCCAATTCATGCTAAAAAGTTATTTACTTTTTTAAAAAAGAAGATTTATCTTGAAGTACAATGAATACAACCATTACTCAAATTTACACACCAACCACTAGAGTCGGTGATGAAGAAACTGAAGCATTCTTCGAACGTCTACCAACAAAGCGGGAGGTGGGATGAGTGGTGCAGTGTTAAGGGATTACCAGGAATGGGATGATGCAAATGCGTGTGAATTGTTTGATATAAAACTGATGGTCTGCTCTGTATTTCTTTACCCAAGTCACCCATAAAAGGGTTAAAAAATAAAGGAACCACAGACAAGCAGATGGCTTTAACAAACAGAAATTTAATTGCACAGATGAGAGACTAGAAGACTAAATTCGGAGAGATGATCCTCTTCCTGTTGTTCAGCGCCAGAGAGTCAGGGCAGACCCAGAGCAACCCTGTGCACACAGAACGAAACACTGCCGTTCCCGTGCCAGCCTCACAACTGTTCCTATGCACGAGTCCACTGCTGTAGCTACGGTGTCCAGCCGTCTTATCAAGGGTCTTCCTCTTTTTCATTGCTTCTCTACTTTATCAAGCATGATGTCTTTCTCCCGGGACTGCTCTCTCCTGATAACCAAAGAGGTATGGTCAGGATGCTCCTTAGAGGCAAGAATGAGCTTCTTTGAGATAGAATATAAGTTCTACAAGAGCTTTTGTCTATTTTATTCATTAATGAATTCTAGTCCCTAGAATAATCTTCAAGCATATTGGAGCTTGACAGATTCTTGCTGATTGGATTAAACTAAGATTCAGTTGATATGCAGCATGGGTTTCCTGTTTGTTTCCTGTCAGTGGTGCAGGGTGGACCGTCTGTCTTCCTCCCCTACTGGCTCGGCTTCCGTTTACAGGGACTTTGCGCTTGTCTGAGGTGGGGGACAGTGTCATGGCAAGGTCCTACACCATGTCTGGACATGTGCTGAAGGAAAACTTCTCTTCGTATCCCGAAAGCCTGTACCCTCCCACCTTAGTACTTGCATCTGACTGTTCGGGCCCGTCTCCATGACAGGCAGCTGCAGGAACAACTGTTGGACACAAGTGGTTGAGTCGGACATATGCAGTCCATGCAGATAGTGCCCTGGATGCCGGCACTAGTCTGTGGGGCCCACGATGGAATGCGACCACTCAGCAGAGGCATGTCTCTGCCACAGGCCAGGCGATTAATCATGTTTGTCCTATGAAACAATCCATCGCATAGCAGAATGCTATTGCTGGGTCTCTCTCCCACATCCATCTCCACCTTACAGCACCTTTTAAAGGCCCTATTTTCTGGGTCCTTGCGAATGTTTCTCAAGCAGAGGAATTTCCACTTTTGCTACTGGGAGTCAAAAGTGGGCAGAATGGAAAGGACAGAATGGTGGGCCCCTCTAGAACCCAGCCCTCTGGACATCACTGCATTCCAGGGCTTCTCTGTCTCCTTTGTTCAACCACAATGCCAGGTCAGGTAAGGGGGGAACTTCCCCAGGCCCAGTGCCCTGCGCTCCCACCAAGCAGCTTCCTCCTCCAACCAGTAGTGGCATTTGTCTGCCTAATCCGACCCAAAGTCTGGAAAGAGACCTTGTAACAGATCTTCAGTGATGCCTTCCTCCTTGGGACACTGTGAAACTCATCCTAATTGTAAAGCTGTTTCATTCATTCATTCATTTATCCATCCATTTATCACCACCACCATTTGGCCTAGGTTCTGGGTCTACCATGGAGTAGAAATTAGGGTTAGTCCCTGCTGCCTCCTTGGTCCTCACATCCTCACTCAGTCCTGTTGGATCATTTCCACCCTCGGTATCCTAGCAACCCTGTTACCTTCTGTCACCAGGGAGATGGGAGTGCCAGCATACTCTGCATGCTCTCACACTTCAAGTGTAGTACAGAGAAGCCAGCAGCAAACCAAACCAGATTTGTCTATTTTCGTTTTATTAGAACACAGAATACAATAAAATAAATATTAATTTACCAAATTCTTAATCATTTCATAAATAATATTAAGTTAACAAACAGTTTAGAGAACATCAAGTTAAAGAAGATGAAAGTCTACATGCTGTTTCGCCTGGAGCCAACAGTAGGATCATGTTTCCACAGTTCTGTTCTCTGAAATATATCTCAAATAGTTTGTGTTGTCTGTCTGTGTGATATGGTCAGGTTACAGTATGCCTGAAAGACTTATTTAGCCCCTGAAGTGTCATTACATTGAAAATTCAAGCCCTGCCCTTGGTTGGCTCTCACTTCCATTACAATAAAACATTCCTATCCTCTGACAAGATTTTGGGCTACAAAAAGCCAACTTGATCTCAACTCTCTGGTGCATGGTTAATGTTTATTACTTTAAGAAACTCTTGCAGGTAGTCTAGGAATTGCTTCACTTTCCGTCTTTCTCCTTTGCACTTTTTCTGTAAAGAGAATGGACCAGAAATATTTTAGGAAATGACTGATTCCTGGGAAAACGTAGCCAGATGCATCCCACCACATGTTCTTAACTTACCTTTTGGAGGTCCATGTGTTCCCTGAGTAAAGACAGGTTTTTAAATAGCTTTTCCACTGCACTGTCTTGTATAGTTTGATTCTTCAGGGTGTCTATCCCCTGGAAGACTTCTTCAACGCAGAGTCGGTGCTAAATGAGAAAGATTTTTAAGCACGCAGAAACTCCAAACAAGATATGAACATGAGTTCAAAAATGTTAGCCTTTGTTTTGGGGTGTTTGCACGAGTTCCTGACTTTAAAGAGTCGTATGCTTGCTCCTCGGGTGAAATGTACGTCATTACTGGAGAATTTTATAAATGTTATAGATGAACTACTTAGGATACGTGGAATCTTTAGGAAAGGTAATCAACAGACGAATGTTATTGATGAAGCTCATGTCAGCGTTGTCTTTATTCTAGTTAGACTAAAGAAATCATCTCTCTGCATAGCAGTATGACTATCACCTCCTCCCCAAATGTGCACAGTCTCCATCTATGCCCATGATCATTTAAACAGGCAGGAATGACTGTTATTGTAGGACAGTGAATAGGCAGTCTAACATCTATTGACAATGATTCCGAAAATGTAACCCTCCATGACTAATACTCTCAGAAAGACAATAAAGCCTGCTGTCACCTCATTATATACATCCACATAGATTAAAACAAAACAAGAAAGTAAAATCATTCCACTGATCACTAACACTCTACAGCCAACACAGGTCATTTACTTAGTCATTCATTCAATCATTTAATCAAACTATACTTTAACTTACTTCTTTATGCGCAGGGGTAAGAATCCTCAAGGTCTGAAAAGACAAGAACATGCGATCACTTTCAGAGCTCTCTCACATGCACAAATTTTAACCTGGTGCTTGTGGTGAGGTGGTTAGTTCTATTTTATGAACACTCTCGGACCCCTGCTATTAAGATCAGCTCTTCATACATGGTCCATGAACCACCAGAAATGATTGTCTGTGCATTTCAGAGACCAGGAATCAAAAAAGTCTGAAAAAACTTTACCCCATTGCCAATCAGCAGAGTTCCATGCGTGGAGAGTAGTTTCAAGGTCTCGGTCACCAGCGTGGGCACAGGGTTTTCTATGGCAAGGGCACAAGTACAGGCGGCTCCGAGAGCCAGCAGACTCAAATGAAGAAGCGTCCTCATGGCTCAGATCTGCTCAGCCTTCGCCTTTGGCAAAGAGAGTGCGTAGTGTAAGCCTACATCCCCAGCCAATTTATTCTCTCTCTTTGAGGAAATGAATAATTTCTAACAATCAGATAGAGAATACCTTATAATGGCATATTATGAAACTAAATTTTTCCAATGCCTTGTACCTTAACAAATAATTCTAGTTTTCTCTTTCAAATAATAACAAAAATCCCTATTTTTCCCCTCTAAACTATTTTCTATTATAAAAGAAAATGTTTGGGTTGATAGATGATTGCCCTACATTTGAATTTCTCAACAATCACAAGATGGAATTTCCTCTTAAAGTTATGTGTCAAAAGAAGAAGTATTACATAAGCGAATACATAGAATTGTATGGCAATCATAAATATTGGGAATGGCTTTGTGGCAGGTTGACTAAATTCCACTATCGTGGTATTCAAATCGATTTCTTTTCAAAGGAATTGGAAATATGGGCAAGAAGGTAGTGATTAGGGTCAGGGGCCACCAAAACCTAACAGGGTCAAGTCTTATCCATGAAGGTCTTAATTAGGAGTCTCTCTGTTGACCATGATCAAAAGCCAAACACAAACTGGTTGAAGTCAGACTTGAAGGCGTTGGTTCATATAACCAAACAGTCTAAGGATGGAGGCTCCTTTCTATGCCTCTTGCCTTGGGGATTCTTTCTTGGCTCCATTCTCAGTCAGCTCTTCCATTTTGTGGTTCAAAGGTGATGTCCTGACTCCTCGATCTAGAGATGCCCTGCTCACGTGCAGCAGGGAAATCGCGTCCTGCTTCTCCGATTGCTTAAGCCAAAGTTCTAGAATTCAGTCTTCTTGTGACAAGGGTCACACGTTCGTTCACCTTGGACCTGTGGCCCAGTCTTCAGCATATGCGGACTGGTTCCCCTGGAGCTGGAAGGAGACTTCCTCCCACCCAAACTGCTTTCCAAGGTCTCCTTCTTCCGTGCAGGAGACCAGCTTTGATTTCTGACCCATGCACCACATAGGCAGCTACCACCCATTTGTCAGTAGAGGTGGACATGTTGCTATGATGATAAACAGGTCCCAGCAACACTTTCAGGTCAAGACCAAGAAGAAAGGCCTGGTGATCCATTTATGAAAATTAGTAGTGAAACCCCAATCGAACACAATGGTCTGGTCTGGTTGGGCATGCATAGGGTCACCATGGCTTTATGGCAGACAGCAACAACAGAAAGTGGTGAGAGGGACATAGGTGCTGGGAAGTGTGTGTTTTGTGGCAGGTACATAGCATACGGGCATGGCCTATGTGCCCTGCCAGAAGGAGGTGTTCTTTGGGTAGGCAGAATATGAGTGTGGGTAATCAGGGAAATTGGTCTTTAGTTTCCTTAGACTCAGGCATGTAACTCCAAAAGTGAGCAGACATGTCCCTCTTCTAGACCACACTGTCTTGCCTGGTCTGAACACACCTGATGGAGGTGTGGCCACTTTTGTTTAAATGGAGGGTTTTCTCTGTGTTAGAAGCCGGGGCTATCTTCAGCATCTAGAACTGATGATGCCAAGAACTACCTAGAACCCTTCTCCAAAGTTGGGTCCAGGTCCACATGAGAAGTAGAGCAATTGGGAAGTAGATTTGCCTCTCACATACATGGAACCCCAGAGCTGCACAGGTGGGGCGGCAGTAGTTTGCGACTTCAGTCACAGCCTCCCAGTACCAAATCGAGTGTTGTTTGTGCCGAAGTTCTAGGTTACACATGTCTGATGTAAACACTTAGATGATGTTTTCCTTGAGACTGTAGGAGAGATACTGGCTCACTGAATCTAGTAAGAATGAAGTAGGAATCACTATAGGCTTGAGTCAAGGTGCTGCTAAAATGGTGTTCTCAAAACCAAAACAGGAGCCTTCTCATGATGTGACCAACACATGCCTTTCCTTTGGTGTGCCTCTGGATTACACTGGAGAAGAATGGGTTTTAGATGAGGTTGCAGAGTAATCACCAACTTATTTATTGCCATAATTTAAACTTGCAAATGGCTGAGTTTTTAAATTCTAATAGGGTGGTGCAGGCAACCTGTGTGGTGAAGGATTGAGATACAACTATGAGCCTTCACTAAGCAAACAAACAAACCTCCCCAAGCACGCACGTGTTTTCAGCAGGCCTGCTGAGCTCAAGATTACAGCAGTCCTGCTGAGCCATGACTGTGAGTGAAATGGTGAGGAGGCACCCAACAAAGGTGCCCGTGGTGCCAACAAGCAGCAGCCAATGTGGCTTTTGAAGGTGCCAGCTGATAGTTGCCATGTGGAACTCTTGTTTTTCTGTTGTCAGACCATCCAACGATTCAAAGCCAGATAGCCTGATTGTTAAGTGTACTTTCTTGGCTTGAAGATATTGTAAACTCATATTTTTAAGACAGACAGAAACGGTGCGGGAGGCATGATAGAATTTTGGGAGACCAACGACTTATTCATTGTAAATATCTTTTTTTTTTAAATACTCTTTCCATCCTCTTTTGGAAACAGGGATGTGGACCCTGCTGGATGGCGCACACAGGAATCATCTGTGTAAAGAGAGGACCGAGGAGGCATCATCAGCTGGAACCAGGCCAGGGCCGACTAGGGGACAGACCAGCAATTGCTCATGAGGCAAAAAAAAATAAAAACAACTCCACAAGAGCCAACGTCTGACCTTGAGTGAGAGACCGTCCCAAGAATAGATTTGACATCTTGAACACTAATGACTAAAGGCCAAAGTGTGGGGTGACATCATACACGAAGGAACCACGAAGTCATGAAAGGCTAGACCGAAGGACATCTTAGAAGAGACTCTGGATTTTTCTCTTGAATGTTGAATAGCTAAAGTAAAAGACTTTCACTTCATTATCTCTTGACCAGAGACGTCAAAGGCAGGCTCCAGAAGATACAGTATTATAATGAAATGTGTGAAGAGTTGGTGTTAGCAAGCCAAAAGGGAAAACCATGCTCAGCGTTTCTCAAGCTGGAATAAAAAGGGGGAAATGCAAGCCTCAACTTGCAATACTGAAGGATTCTAGAGACCGAATGTAGGACCAAGTGAAATGCATCAAAAGCAGATGGAAGCCATTGCACAATTCTCCTTGAGATAATTGAGCATCCGAACCATTGAATTGTATGACATGTAAATTATGTGCCAACAAAACTAGAGAAAAACACCCACCGGATTCGCATAAAAAATTAATAAATATGCTAGTGATTTAAAAAGCCAATCGTGACAGTTAACAAAAAAAAGATGGAAGGGTGGCTCCAGGGGGAAAAAAAAAAAGATGGAAGGTATACATAGAGTGATTGTAAAGGGGAAAAGCTGGGCAATGTTCATTTCTGGAAGTAACATATAATCAGGAAATGATGATATTAAAGGAAGAAGCCCAAATTGCACCAAAAGCATTGGTAAAAATATGGCTCCAGAAGCTGACAGAATAGCGACTGAGATGTTTCAAGGAACAGAGGCCACACTGGAAGAGTTTACTTGCTTATGCCAAGAAATATGGAAGAGCATACACCTGGAAAAAAATCCATATCTTTGCCCTTTTCAAAGAAAGGTGATAGGACAGAATGCAGAAAGTATCAAACAATATCATTAATATCACACCTAAGTAAAAATGGTTATTAAATATAACTCAAAATTGGCTTCAACAGTACATCAACAGGAAACTGCCCGAAATCCAAGCCAGATGCAGCAGAGGATTGAAGGGTGTGATTGGAATGAGGAATACCATTGCTGATGTGAGATGGGTGTTGGCTGGAAACGATCTGAAAGATATTTACTTGTGTTTTATTGACTATGCAAAGACATTCTATCGTGTGAATAAAAAAAACATGGTTAATATTGTGAAAATGGGAATTCCAGAACTCTTAGTTCTGCACCTAGGGGACCTGTACACAGACATGCAGCACCAGGATTGGAGGAAGACTCGTTAACACCCCTCAACTGCCGATGATGCAATCTCGCTTGCTCAAAGTGGAGAGGATTTGAAATCCTTACTAGTGAAGATCAAAGACTACAAACTTCACGATGGATTACAAAAGTATCACAAGTAAACAACACCTAATCAACAAACGAAAAAATTGACTTCCTTTTTCTTGGATCCACAATGAACACCCATGGAAGTAGCAGTCACAAAATCGAATTGGAGAAAGCCGTTGGCAAAAGCCTCTTTAAAGGTTTCAGAAGCAAAGCCATCCCTCTGAGGACTGAGAGGTGCTTGACCCACGCTACAGCATTTTCCCTGCCTCACCTGCATGTGCAAGCTGAGCACGAATAAGGGAGGCCCCAAAAGAAAGCTGCTGTTGGTGGTGCCATTGAGTTGGCCATGACCCATAGCGACCCTCTGCACAACGGATCGAAACACTGCCCAGGCCTGCACCATCCTCACAATCGTTCCTAGCTGAGCCAGAGACCCACCCACTGTGTCTGTCCGTCTCAGGGAGCACCTTCCTCATTTTTTGCTGTCCCTCTACTTTAC